AATACCGAAGGATAAGCTACTATCGTATTACACAGCCTCCCTCCTCTTTTAAGCGTCGTCCCCGGCGGTCCCACTGGTCAACCTCCCGCGTCAGCCATTACAACGTAGTCGGCGCAGTAAAGAAACACCCACGAGCCGACCGTGCCAGTCACCAAATTAGCGCGCAACTGAGGGAATACTTGACCTCAACGTCACTGATACTTCTTGGCAGCTTGACTGGATCTGGGGTTTCGTCCGGTTTGGGGATTTCATTCAGGACGGGGGAACTGCGCCGGCCATCATGCGTGTCCATAGATAGATGCAGGAACACTGGCCTAAAAGCAGATTTGAGTAAGGAAGTATAAGATTTAAAACAGGTCCATGAGGGACAGTAGGGGAAATCCGTAACGAAACTTCCAGATGGTTCACGGCTAGTGTCGCTTCAGTTGTTAATAGCTTTTCTGCAGAACACGGGACTGGGAGGGATGCCGAAGGTAGGCGTCAACACCAACCCTTCTGTTAGGGGTCATCACCATTCCCCCATCCATAGCATATGCACTTCTTCCGTCCCACTAAGGCTTATCACGCAGAAGTGGAGAATCAGGATACATGTCTTTCAAGATGGGGTTCGCTTTCCGCTGCCACCAATGTAGCGCCCCGAGACTCCCTTAAGACGAAAGAAGACACAATACTCGGGCAGAATATATATATTCAGCACGGAGAAGGTGTCTGGGCTATTGGCATGGCCCAAAAGGCCAGCCCCAGCCAGCGAGGTACAAGGGGGCTAATTCGAAGTACAAAAGTGGCGCCTCACTAATACTGGGGATAAACCACCATCGTATTACACTACAGTGAAAGGTTCTGTTGGGGCATATTTGCTTATACCGTACAGAATAATTGACAATCTACTAGCAGTGCAGCTATTCCGTGCCACATAGTAAGAGGGCAAATTGCGGGCGCAGAAAGCCCCTTGTTCTTATGTAATACGATAGTGGTTTATCCCTCTGTTCTGGTGAGGCGCCACTTTTGTGCTTCGAATTAGCCCCCTTGTACCTCGCTGGGTGGGTTGGCCTTTTGGGCCATGCCAATAGCCCAGACACCTTCTCCGTGCTGAATATATATTCTGCCCGAGTATTGTGTCTTCTTTCGTCTTCAGGGAGTCCCGGGACGCTACATTGGTGGCAGCGGAAAGCGAACCCGATCTTGAAAGACATGTATCCTGATTTTCCACTTCTGCGTGATAAGCCTTAGTAGAGCGGAAGAAGTACATATGCTACGGATGGGAGAATGGTGATGACTCCTAACAGAAGGGTTGATGTTGACGTCTACCTTCGGCATCTCTCCCAGTCCCGTGTTCTGCAGCAAAGCTATTAATAACCGAAGCGACACGAGCCGTGAACCATCTGAAAGTTTCGTAACGGATTTTCCATACCGTCCCCCGTGGACCTGTTTTAAATCTTGTATTCCCTTATTCAAATATGCTTTTAGGCCAGTGTTCCTACATCCAGCTATGGACACACATGATGATGCCCTACGCAATTTTACTCCTAAATCAAATCCCTAAACCAAACGAAGCACCAGATCCAGTCAAGCCGCCAAGAGGGATCAGTGACGTTGAGGTCAACTATCCCCTCAGTTGCGCGCCAATTTGGTGACTGATACGGTCAGATTGTGGGTGTTTCTTTACAGCATCGACTACGTTGTAATGGCTGACGCGGGAGGTTGACCTG